TGCGCTGGGGTGTGAGGGGGCCGTCAGGGAGGCGAGGGAGGTGTCCTGGGCTGGGGGGGACAGGCGGCAGGGATGCGAGGGGAGCAGGCAGGGCACAGGGCGCGCCGGTGCCCCGGGGGGTGCTGGTCAGGAACCCGGTCCTGAAGGAGAGGTGTGCTGTTTTGGGGGCACTGTCTGCTCCGTGCTGGGGCCGAGAGGTGCTTCGGTAGCAGTGGGGGACGGGGTCAGGTTACCTTCGGCTCCCCTGGTGTCTTTCTGTTCTTGGAAAGGGGAATTGTGGCTTTTCTGTGTTAAGTAATTTTTTCCTAACAGGTATTTCATCAGTATCTGCATTCTCTGCCTAGCTAGCAATTCCTTCCCATCAGAACCTTTTGTATAACGGAACTGTACAGGGAGCTCTAAATCCATGTTGTGAATAATAAGAGCAACATAAAAGTAAAATGGAGCACTGTGTTCAGTGTTGTCACAAAGAGCAAAGGTAGTTTGTCCAGCAGTTGGAAAAACATATTTGTCAGCACAGGGAGTAGATGCTAAGTTCCCTCAATAGACGTGACTGCGAAGCAGTTCATGGATAATTTTCCCCTGAGTAGTTCTTTTCTCTCTCTTCTATTCTGGCTCTAATACTGTTTTGATTTGGTTTTGGATGCAGTAGAACATGATTTTAAACTTGCTTTTCTCCTCCCCCAGGATTATTGAACTGTGTCATCAGTTCCCTCATGGTATCACAGACCAGGTGATTCAAAATGACATGCCTCACATGGAAGCCCAGCAGCGAGCCATGGCGATCAACAGGCTGCTCTCGATGGTAGGGCGGTCTCAGCTTCCTCGTGTTACTTCAGCCAACCTGGAGCACTCTTCATACACACAGTCTGCATGGTAGCAACCTGTTGGGCAGGGCTAGCAAATTAATCCTTTTTGATTTAGCGGCATTTGCCATAATGTACAGTTAGCCTGACTTACTTTTGGTTGCCATAAGCACTTATGATTGCCAAAACCAATTAAAACGTACCTCAACTTACTCTTTCCATTTTGTAATACAAAGTTGACATGAATGTGTGTATCTATGTGGATTTCTAGTGAGGAAGCTACCACCGACAAGTACCACGTTTGTTTTTTTGATGTGTCTAGAGTTCTTTGGTCTTCTTTTTCCTGTGTATTACTTCGTAAAGCAGAATGTGATACAATGGTCTAATTTAACAGTTGGGTGCAAGTGTAGTTGCAGT